CCTCTCGAACCGTTTTGTGCGTTTCCCGAGTTCGAGAGAGCTCTCGAACATTTTCCTGTCTGGGGGATAGGTGTGGCCCTATCCCCAAAACGGGAAATGTTCGAGAGCGCTCTCGAACTCGGGAAATCGTGGTGCCCATGTCATTGTTTGTTCGAGTTCCAAGAAAATGACATCGTGCAAGTTTGGCTGCGCGTTGAAATTGCGGCCGTTTCCTTTTTTTGAAGTGCCCCTAAAAATGCAGTTTTAGCACCCGCCGGCGGCCCTTTTTTTTTTCTTTTTTTCTTTTTTTTTTTTGCCGGCGGCGGCCCTTTTTCCCCCTGTTTTGAGAGAAGTTCAACTGCTATAGGGCCTCGCCACACCTATCTCCAAAACAGCTTTTTGGAGAGAAGTGGCATCGCCACACCAACTCCCGAAAATCGCAGTCAGAAAGAATTTGGAGAGCGGTCAGAACGCGGTTCTGGGGAGTGCTCTCGAACTTTGTGGATCCCCCCGCCTGCAAAGCACCGGATTTGAGGAGTGGTCCGAGGCTCCTCCTATTTCGGCCCCAAACTGGAGAGTGCACCTCGGCCGACAAACATCTGTTGCCACCGTTTTGTCTGGGTTCGCCACACCACTCTCTAAATGTGAAAAAGACAAAAATGTGGCGGGCGCATCTGGCCATGTTCTAGCGGGAAGTTCACTCTCATTTTGCACATTTCGAGAGTGGTGTGGCGAGGCCCGGCGTCTGCGCTCTCCAAAAAATGTCCGGCCTCGTCTGACGAATTGGAGACTGCCTCCTTGGAGAGCGCAGTGTGGCGACGAGCCCTCACGAAAGGTTTTTTCACATCTCCCGCGTTCGGGAGTGCTCCCCAACTTTTTTGCGTTTTCGGGATAGGTGTGGCGAGCCCCATAGTTGCGTAATTTGAAACTGTAGGTCTGACCCAGGAGCCGTTGCCCTTTCCAAAAAAGAAGCGTTACAACTATGGATATGATATCTTTTTTTTTTTTTTCTTTTTTTTGAGAAAAGGATATGATATCACAATGCCGCCACCCTTCGGAAAAAGGGACAAAGTTCAAACTAAAAAAAAAAAAAAAAAGGGTCAAACGCGACTCAACGGCCGAGATCAAAGGCATTCGAGGCAGGCAGACTGTGACAAAACAGTCTGTCGGGACTCGAAAGACACACAGGGGTCTGGACTTTGGGCGTCGCCGCACGGGACACGAAACGAAAAACGAAACGAGTGCATCTTCCTGCAGAAAATGGCCACGTTCATCGGTTTGCTATAAACAGTATCGAGTGTATTTTGCCACCTTTCCCGGGCAGATACACTCGTTTCGTTTTCGTTTCGTGTGCCGTGCGGCGAGACCCAAAGTTTGACCAGCATACTTCGCCGCAGCAAAGACCAAGAGCTCCAATGAACTCCAAACCCTTTTTTTCTTTCTTTTTCTTTTTTTCTTTTTCGTTTTCGTTTTCTTTTTTTTATCTTTTTTTTTTTTTTTTTTTTCAAAAGACCCCTCTGGGTGCTACACTCTTCCCCCGAATACAACGTACGCTCATTCTAGCTGAATTTGGTGGATCTTTCCGTCTAATTACAGCTAGACTGACCGTCCGTTGTATTCGGGGGAAGACTTTAGGGGTGCTGATACGACCAGTCACCTCTAGCACCACAGGGGGGGCCCCCTCCATCTATTGCCGAACTCCAAACATCTAGGGCTGCGGCTTTTTTTTTTTTTTTTTTTTTTTTTTTTTTTTTTTTTTTTTTTTTTTAAATCAAAGCTCGAAACGAGAACAACAGCCAGAATGAGTTAAAGCTGCGAGTCATCTCGCAGCTAAGCTCACACTTTCACACCCGTCTCAATCTCCACAGAGTCCACACCACTATAGCTTGTTCTCCCCCCTGTAAACGACACAGCAAGAACCCTTCTCCCAGTTCCATCCGCCTACTATCCGGAATCATCGGGAAGGTGTGCTCTACACGAACGAGTACTTCTGTCGAACGAGATGGAAAAAAAAAAAAAAAAAGGTCAACGGCCGAGATTAAACGCATAGCATTTGACTAGACTGTAAAGTAAGGATATTATATTTCGAGTTGTTCTTTTCCTACCCCGAGTTCAACCGCGGAGGGGGGGCCAAACGGAATAGGAAAACAACGGGAAGCC